CGATAGCCATTTTAACTATTATTATCACGGAACCTAAATAAGGTTTACCGCCAAAATTTGGAAAAATCATATGATCGCGAACTACATGATTTTATTGGGTATGGTACGAAATCCGATTTTAACCAAAATGGTGAAATTGAAGATATTTAAATCATTAAAATACGGCAACATATTTATAATAAAAGAATGATTTATTATTGTAAAAACATTATGTTCAAAAATATTAGGTTAATATTGCACAATATTATTATTCAGGAAAAATCTTTGTAAGATTTGAATCATTTCAAGTGTTTTAATAATACCGAAAATTTTCCATAGATCTGTTGTTAAAATAAAAAAGGAAACTTGAAAATTAATAAAATCAGGTAAATTAAAATAATATAAGACTTCTTTTGGTCAAAAAAGATATATAAACTTGGTTATTATCAATACCAAGAATGCAATTGCTGTTTTTAATATGTCTTTCAAAATTTGTTGTTCTAGTTAAACAAACTACAGCTCCACATTTACAACGGACAGTTTCGTCATCTATTATTTTGTAATCATATCGTCTGATCAAAACAATCAGCTGACCAAGTAAATACTATTCGCGTAAAAGAAATAAATTTTAATTATTATTTTATTATTATATACTGTAATTATAAAGACTTAAAATCCCTTTACAAATATTTAGCAATCAAAGCTATTAAAAAATTTTCAACTATTCTAATAAATATTCTAAGAAGTCTATCATTGAATACTGAATCCGGACAACGCTATACTCATCATTAAACGGAATTAAGAAGAATATTTATTATTTATCAATTTTCTGATAATTATAAAGTAAAATCTATTTGGAAAAAGTTTAGGAAAAATGGTTAGTTAGTCGTATACAAGTTTAAAATAAGTTTAATATAATTAAAAAAAAAATAAACCCAGTAAAAGAAATACTTTTTTAACTTTCACTTTTTATTAAAATAAAAGTAAATAAAACATATTTGCAATAATGAAATCTTTTGATCGGTTCCTCAGTTTATTACATATAAAAAATATTTTTGTTCGATGATATTTCAGGGGATCAACAATAATTTAGATCTAATGATATAACAAAAAAATAGGGCACACGATTTAGGGCACACGATTAGGCCCAATTTTTTTAATCAGCCGATATGTAGATCTAATACGAGAAATAAAAGTACGGCATTTGATATTTTGAGTATAAAATAGGAGAGTTAGTGGCATTATTGTAAAGTAAAAAATAAAACTGAATAACAACAGGATAAAATAAATTTCAGTTATAAAGTTGAAAGAAATGATTATATTTCATGTCAATAAAAGTAAAAAAGGGGGGATAGTATATTATCCTTAAGCCCAAACTGTTTACTGAGATTATTATAATTAATAAATTATTATACTTTAAAAAACTTTCAAGATTAACAGTTAAACAGGATTAAACCGCTAAGAAAAGTGTGTCGAATATTTATATACAGTGTGGTACAAAAAAGACGGAAAATTATTCACGTGATAAAATGCACTCACAATTTACATTGTGTAAATCCCTATTACTTAAGGTTATGACAGGTTCTTTATTTAGTTAGGAAGACGGCTTTCATTGTGAGCAAGAAAGGATATAATAGATTGAAGGTTAATAGTAATTTTTATACTTTTTTTAGTATAGATTTTCTTTTTCCCCAGTTGCATTAGTTGCATTTTCCAAATTACACAAATTAATAACATTGTGTAAATTGAATAATAAACCTGTGACACAAGACCACATTTTGATATAAACACTTCATTACCTTTTGAGAAGATTAGCAATAATTATTTACTTTCAAGGCAGAAATAAATTAAATTACATTTATAAAACATTTGTGGATTAGATTTAATTTTTCAAATATTGTTAAGAATAATGAAAAAAAAGAAAAATAAGAAAATCTGAATAAAAGGAATTTTATTCTTCAAATTATTCACAATTTCGTTATACAGTAAAAAAAGATTCCATATTAATTTATTATTTACAAGTTTTGAACTTTCAAATAAGCTATTTTACATATGATTTGGTGCGATCGATAGTATGTATTATTTAGATCATTACAATAATACAATTGTTACAAAATCATTATTAAAATTTGCTATTAAAATTTTATATTTAGTAGTTTAGGAAAGCATTTATTTGTTCATCGGAATGATTGGAATGTTAAAGATGAATCATATGTTTGCGAAACCATATTATAAACGGTAACACGGTTCGTGCTAGATAATGTTACCGCTTTTGAAATAATATGACCTTTCCATAATTATATAATTCGTCTTCGAATTAGAAATATCACGCATTTACATGTTACACGATTCAAATTATTTATACGGGAGTGTAATCTAAATATCACAATAATTTCCTAACTTTTCAAAAATTTATTTTATTCTCTTTAATTTAGTTCATTCTCATCAAGCTATTTTTTGTTACAATCTTTTTATGCTCATCTGTAAAAAAAACTTAGTCCGCTAGATATTAAAATCAAAA